CTCTATCACCTCTGCCCACGAAGGGTGGAGGGGTGGCCATCTGGGGCAGGGATGGGGTGGGAGACCGAGACACTCTGCTTGTGCACAGCAACCTCAGTCCTTTCCTTTCCTGAACCTGGTTTAGCTGGGACGCCTTGGGAAAGGGAGGATGACTGGTGGTCGTCATGGGTGGCTGTGGGGAAGGTGGGCATTGGGCCCCTCCAACTGGAGAACAAATGAAGCAGAGAGAGCAGTCCAGAGATCTCAGAGATGAACAGGCAGAACTTGCTGAGAAAGGGTGTACGAGGGGCAATGATGACTCTAAGGCTCCTCATAACTGGGTAAATGGAGAAGCAGGGGCAACAGGCTTTGCTGGCTGAGGTGGGGGTGGGACGAGAACCCAATTCCACACACACTGAGCACAAGGGATATCCAAGTGATGACAGCCGCAGGTCGGGATGGCTCTAGCTTTAAAAGTCATCCCCTGTCTGGGATTTGCTTCAAAATAATCTGAGAATAGTGGGTAGGATACAGGTGAAACAAAGTTGGCTATGTGTACATAACTGAAGTGGGTGAGAAAGTAAAAATTAGCTAGGACTAAGAACAAATGCATTCGCCAGGCTGGGTGGGCAGACATAGGCACAAAGTCGCCGTGAAACAGTATTTGTCCCGAGGGCATGCTGCAGCTGAAATGTCACAACCACCCCCTTCTTTGCGTGACTACCACTTCTGACTCACGGGGAAACCTTCTTCTCTAAAGTGACAGACCATCAGAAACTTTGCTGTTTGAAATTTTATCAATAAAAATGAAACACCCTTCTGTTGCCAGGAGGATCTGTCACTTTGACACGGAGAAGGAATCTCAACTTGCAACTCAGGTTTGGAGCTCCAGATACGGGACCTCTGACACAAGGCTCCATGTTCATCTTAACCCGAGTCTGCTGCTCAGCTCGGACCAGATGTTGACTCTTGCTTTGCCATGAGCCCATCAGAGTACTGCTGCTTTGAAGTCTTACCTAAACTCTGTCCTTCCCCCAAATCCTGTAACTTTCTCTTTGCCTCTTTGGTGAGATACCACATATTCCCTTGGTGTGTGGTCTCCTTTATTGCAAAGAGTTAATAAATCCGATTTTGTCAGACTACAGGTTTGTTCCTAGTGGTCTCGGGCTATTTGGGTCAGGGCATGGGTAATGGAGATATAGGAGGTCTTTGTATTACCCCCTCAGCTATGGCAAATGATTCATTTTCTGTAACATTTCCAAGTTTTAAGAAAGTTCTCACCCCATGCTAATAGTGCCAGCCATGGCAGTGTTTGAGACCAGCGGAAGGCAGAATAGCCTCCCAAAGATACCCACATCCTAATCCCTGGCACTTGTGAATGTTATCTTCAAGAGGGACTTGAGATTGATGTAGTTAAGGCTAAAGACCTTGACGAGTATTCTGGATTACGTAGGTGAGTTCAGTGTACTCATGTGGACCCTTAAAAGCAGAGAGAGAACCTTTGTTGGTTGTGGCCAGAGAGGTGACCATGGAAAGTGACCCAGAGATGCAATGTCGCTGGCTTTGAAGAGTCTCCAGAAGACGGAGAAGGTAAGGAAACAGATTCTCCTTTAGAACTTCCGGAAATTAGCCCTAATGCTAATTTGATTTTAGCCCAGTGAGAACCACGTCAGAATTCTGACCCTCAGAACTGTGAAGAAGTCTGTGCTGAGAAAGTGGTGCAGAGATTTAAACTGCCTGCTCTTCAAAGGGAGGACTGAGGTTAAACAGTCTTCGAAATTTAAAGTGCATGTTATTTCCTTGCTTCATTTTCCTTGTGAATCTAGCACTTGCACATAACAGCTTCTTTCACCTGAAACTACCACCTTCTCGCTTCATGTTGAAAAACTAAGAGTTTACCTAAGAACTCTCATGACCTCAATCCATGCTAGAAACCCATCAAGGCAATATTCTGGTTCCAGAACAGCAGTTTAGCATATCGCAAGTGGGAAAGATATGTAGCTATTTTTATGTGTTAATTCAAGTTATTGGGCTCTGGGGGACAGTCTCCCAGGCCGGCCTGACGGTGCAGCGGTCGTCTCCACACCTCAGCGCTCCTCCCAGACCGACCCTGCCCCTGAGACTTGAGGTCCACAAGTACTGCTCCTCCTGAAAGTATTTCCTTTCTCTCTCTCCAGACCATCACAGCTACCAGTTTGGAAAATGGCAAGTTATTTCAGCCAGGTGAGACTGCTGATGGCTTTGACTATCTTAGAGAACATTTACATTTTAAAATGTTCACAGATGGAAAGAAATGTTGGGTATGTAGATTTTCGGGCTTTAAGACTAAGTGAAGAACGTGGAGAGGACTATGTTCTTACATTAAACTCACTAACCTCATCTAGTTTTGACAATCTGGGCTGACTCTCTCATTGTCACGGGAAGACCTAGGCACATGCCTGATTTCTCTGCCTGAATACTCTAGCCCATTCATTCTTCAGAATTCAGCACCTTCATCGGGAGGGCTGTCCCAGATGCCACTGGCCCCTTCTGTTAGAGGCCCCCACTGTACACTGTAGTTCTCCTTTTGAAACGCTCACCACACCTGTCATGATTGGTTCCGCATCTGTCACCTTCTCCATTAGATGACAAAGTCCTGTGAGGTGAAGACACGGTCTGCCTTCTGCTGTGTCCACTGCTGTCTCCATGGTCTCTAGCACATGGCAGGCACGCACACTTGCTGATGACAGAGTAGATGAATGAAGGGTGAGAGCTGAGCGCTCTTACTCTGAGTTTACTCTGGGTATTAGTGGTTCCTGGAAACATAAATGCGAATGAAAGATAAGGCTTCTTAAAGCTAAAGGACCAACATTAATGAGTTTCCAAAACATACCTAACACCCCATACTACTCATTCCTGGTCTTGTCCAAAGCCTGAAGCTGCAAACACACTCAAGAACAAGTGGGACAGATTTTTAACAGGGTGCCGAGACAAGTCAATAGGAGAAAAGATTAATCTTTCTAAAAATGGTGTTGGGACTAGATGTGCACATGTGAAATGAGGAAGTTGGATCCCTTCCTTACAGCACACACAAAAATGAACTTCACGTGGATCGCAGACCTAATGTAAGAACTAAAATTATACAACTCTTAGAAGAAAACATAGATGTCTGTGACCCTGGGCTATTCAAAACTTTCTTAGACATGACACCAAAAGGACAGGTGACAAAATAAATTTGATTGCATCAAAATGAAAAACTTTTGTGCTTCAAAGGACACTAGCAAAATGAAAATACAACCCACAGAATGGGGGAAAACACTTGTAAATCATGTCTGTAAAAAGGACTTGTATCCAGAACATACAAAGCGGTCCTACAACTCCACAAGAAAAGCCAAGTACCCCAACTGAAAAATGGACAAAGGATTTCAACAGACATTTTTCCAAGTAAGATATACAAGGAACCAATAAGCACATAACAAGACGCTCAGCGTCATTAACCATGAGGGGGATGTGAATCCAAACCACCACGGCACACAGCTGCACACCTGCTGGGATGGCCGTAATTCAACTGGCACATGGCAAGGGTGAAGATGTGGGGAAACTGAGCCCTCCTACATTGCTAGAACAATGTAAAATAGTATAGCCACCTTGGAAATATTTAGCAGTTCCTGAAAAAGTTTAGCATGGAGTTCCTTTGACTCAATAATTCCATTCTTCAGGAAAAATGGAAACATACAGCCACACAAAAATGTGTATGTGAACTGTCGGAACAGTGTTATTGATAATAGCCAAAAAGTGGAATCCACATGTCCATCAATGGATGGATAAACAAAATATGGTATATCCATAAAGCTATAAACAAAATATGGTATATCCATTTAGCTATAAAAAAAGAACAAAGTACTGATACAACACAGATGAACCTTGAAAATGAAAGCAGTCAGTCACAAAAGGCCACATATGATGTGATTCTATTTATACAAAATGACAAGAATAGGCACATATATCGAGAAAGTGGACTGGTGGCTGCCTTGGGCAGGCCTGGGGTGCCTAGGGACTGCTGGGGGCGGGAGACAGAGACGATAAATTGGCACGGCATTTCTTCTCAGGCGGGTGAAGCCTTTTGGAACTGACTGTGGTCGTGGTTGCACAAGCCTGTGACTACACTAAAAACCACTGAACATTCACTTTAAACATATGGGGCATATGAATTCTATCTCAAAAAAGCTGTTAAAATTTTTTAAGTAGAAAAAGAAATGATGTGCTGCTATTTCGAAACATCCCATTTGTAAGAAACCAATGTCACAGCCACGTTCCCAAGCACGAAGGAAACAGGCCTGCCCCAGGACCGGCTGGGTCCCAGGCTCGTTCGTTTCTCTGTGAGCCTGCGCAGCTGTTGAGGGCTCGAGCCAGCAGTTCTGCTCCCAGCAACTCATGGGCCGACAAGCTTCTTAGAGCAATTTGATTTTATGATGATAGACATGTATTTTTCTCTCTTAACAGTAAATTGTTTTTGAAGCTTAAAGTGTGGCACAAAATTTTTCTTTCTTTCTTTCCAGCATAAACAGATTCACTCCATTAAGGCATCTGAAACTCACTGGGTAAGACGTTTGGAGCAGGCCACAGTGCGAGGATGACCAAACCCTACATGTTAGATGCAGAGCTCTACGCTGATTTGTTCTCTCCTACTTCTCCATTTCTTTCCTTTGTCCAGGTTCTACCAGCTCTAGGACAAAGGTCTAAATCTCCACCCTACCCTCCGTACCAAGAGTGCTGGATGAGAAGAGATAAAGGAGCTTCCGAACTCCGGGGGCTCATAGTTGAGCACCCACCCACCCGTGAGCCACTTACTTCCCTCCTTCACACCTATGGCAGGGCCTGGTTAGGGTCCTGGGAGCAATTCCTGCCCTGGCATGTCTGGTTGGTGAAGGATTCAGGAAGAAGAGAAGCTAAAATTCTTTTCCCGGGTGAAAATAGCTAGTTTAGAGAGGAGTTCAGAGCAGGCACCAATAGATACATGCTGAAATAAATGAACAACCAGATTAGCAAAATAAGCAAAACTTATATAAGCTTTATTATAGAAAACTTTGAGATACAAAAGAAGACCATGACAAAGTCTACGAGTAACAGAAACTACATCATGAAGTGTCAGCACTCAGGGTACAAGGAGGTGGGGGTAAGGATGGGAAGGTGGTTCACTCGGTGCTTTTCTAGCTTCAGAGAGTCAGTGAGCCCACAGCATAGCCAGTACATCCTGGTATTGGTTATAAACCATTTACAAAGGTGTCTACCTGTGGGAAAGGGAAAACCCAACAGTTAAATTTCACTTTGCCAGCAGACTATACAACAGTCCATCCACAATGCATAAGTAGTCCATGAGTTTTTTGAGAAGGGAAAACAGGTATGGAGAGGAAATGTGACCTGCCTAGGGTCATACGGTATCAAGTGGCAGAGCTGGGAATAGAATCCAGAAGTCTCCATTCCCTAGTTCTAGAATACCTTAGAGGAGGAAGTTAGTTGGGAAGCACATATTGTAAGTTAACTTTTGAACAATTATTGGCCCCAAATACTTTAGAAAATTGGGATTATATTTGCAACTTTTACAAGGCTCCACAGGCTTTGGAATGTGAAATGTAGTTTGAGGCATTCTGTTTAGGTTTGAAGCAAAGATAAAAGTGCAATAAAGGAACGCCATTAGAAAGCAGGAGCTCAGGCCCTCCCCACCTTTCTCATGAGTTCTTCTTGTTTGGTTACTTCTTTAGAAAAATCATCGTTGACATCCAACACCAGCACTGGAATGTTCAGCAGGGCCTCAGAGTGGAGCCTGTAAGGAGCGCAACCATTTAGGGAACAGAAAAAAGAAGCTGAGCCAAGCCTCACATGCTCACCACGTCTTCGTAATCCAGAGAACACATCTACAGTCACATGGCTTCTCAATGAAATGGTGTGTATACAGCAATTAAAAAATAATTTATGCCAGGCTGGGTGAAAAGGTTGAAGGAATTAAGTAAAAAAAGGAAAAAACCTCACAGACATAGACAATTGTACGGTGATTACCACAGGGAAAGGGAAGCATGAATGGTGATGCAAAGAGATCTGACTTGGGGTGGTGGGCACACAACACAATTACAGGTGTGCACACCTACAGGTGTGTCCTGTAGAATTGTACACCTGAAGCCTGTATAATTTTGTTAACTAGTGTCCTCCCAATAAACTCAATAAAAAAATAAACAAATAAATTCATATGTTTTAAATTGTGACCAGGATGCAACAAAATTCTATCACCAGAAGAAATATCAGTCATTAAAAAAAAAAAGGAATTCAATAAAGTTAGCTGGAAAGACTAAGGCTAAAATTTCTCTTTAGTCTTAAGACTAACCCTGAAGGTGAGAGCCGCAAACATTTAAGCAGAGGGCATACCATGCCTAGAGAGGAAAGGCCAAAACTAGCAGTGTCAACTTAATTTCTCTGAAATTTTTCAGCCGTTCACCCTGAGCCTATTATATAATCATCATCAATCACCATGTCCAGCCCAGTGGAATGTCATAAAACAGAAATCTGGGGAAATACAATCTAACAAAGTCTCTTGGCATATACAGACTATACCCAGTGTTAAACTTCTGAGCTGGAAAGTGCTTGAAATTTCCAACCATTTCCAGTACACTCTGAATCTTCTTATGGGGCTGCGTGTCGAACTCCCTGGGTTTTACTGGCTGGCTGTAGAGAGGCGGCAGGCCGCTGTTCTCTCTGCTGCTTACTTGGTGGTCTTGTGAACAAGCCAGGCTTCGTGTTGATCATGAAGCTGCTCGAGATATGGCAGCTCAAGTCCTATCTCTTCTTTCCTGTCTCTCTGGTGTAGCCTCTTCAGACAAACCTGAAAGACAATCCCCAGGCCCTGCTGAGCTCATTCTTGGCTGTTACAATGCAGTCTTGGGGAGCTCTCAGACCCATTCATAATGTCTACCCTGGATGCTATATGCCCCGACTTTCCCTCTCTGGTCTTGTTTTCTTATTCAATCACAGGTTAAGGGCAAACATCATCCACCCAGGAATCTGGAATTACCCTGCTTTTTCCAGGAAGTCACTGAATGCTCCTTCATATCTCTCCTTGCTTCTCTCTTACCTCTGGCCTGGTCAGGTCCTTATCAACTCTCACCTGAACTACAGCTAGAGCATTTTGGCTCTCTGCCTCCTGGAGATGGTGAAGGGTATGGAAAGGGTCCAGGCTTTAAGGTCAGAAAGTCCAGGATTAAATTCCTGTCTCCACCATGCACCAGTGGTGCAATCTCTGTGGGCTTCCCTTTCCTCATCCTCTACTCACCCACGGGTCACTGTGAGGATTCAGCAGGTAAGGCACGTCAAGTTCCCATAAAATCTGTTCTTTCCTCCCGGTCTGTCCACTCAGTCCACCCTTCCATAGGACTCCAATATAATGGCCTCACTCTCCATGCCTAAAACACTTCCAGGCTCCTTACTGCCTACAGCCACCGCCCCCGGGTTCAAGGAAGTATGAGTAGCATCACATTTACGAAAGCGTAAGTATTTGCAAACATCTCTTTCAGATCACAGCAAATGCTCTCTGCAGGAAAATGCAAAATCTGCCTTGGTCAAAGATAAAGAAGAAAAACAGTGAGGTTTGGGACTAACTTTCCTTTCTTCCCTACTTCCAGAGTGTGCATAATTCCCTTCTGATTTCACATGGTAGACAAGTTTGAAGCACAATGGCTCAGAGAATGTCACTTTCTTCTTTACCTGTCACAAGGCCATTCCCAGAGTCTGGCCACCCCTCCCACATCCCCACTCTCAATTTCCTTAGCCCCTCTCCTGGACTCACTACTTTAGCCAGATTTGACAGCCTGCCTTCAGGGCAGACCAAGCTCTTTTACACCTCCAAACTCTTGCTCCAAATGTTTGCTGTGTCTCAGTTGTCTTCCCTTCTTTCTCTGCATAGCAAACATTTCATTATTCAACGTCACCTGTCCTGGAAGAATAGGTGGATTAACCCACTGATTTTAGGACTTCTCTCTTCCAAACACTGAAAAAAACTTTATTCCCAAATGTAAACTTAATCCCCAAATATAGTGCACAAAATTCCTAAAGCACAGAGTCTTTGCTATTTCCCTCTTGTTCTGTCGTTCTTCTACGGAGACAAAATCATGTACAAAGATTTCACTTATGATCGTATGCCAACTTTTCAAATTAACAGAGACAGATGTTAATAGTTTTAGAACTTATCCCTTCTGGTCTCTCCCTCTTCCCTCAATCGATAATTGTCCCAAACTCAGATGAAGTCCTTGTCCTAGGAAGGCCCTGGGCACACACAGACTTCCAGGGGCACTTTGGCTGCATCAGATGACAGAGGAGGTCTGCACAAGGTGCTCCAAGAGGGAACCCAGGAGGCAGGCCAGAGCCCACCCTGCTGAGGGCTGAGCCCTGGCCTGGCAGAGCAGTAGGTCATTAAGTATTTGTTGCACATATTCATTTAATGTTTTAATATCTGATTTAGTCTCTCTATCCATTTTCCTTTTAAAATGTGTATTTTCCTATTTTCTCCTACTTTAAAAAAATCTTTTTCATTTCTACTTTTCTTTACTCTGAACCTGCCTCTTTTTCTTGCCTTCTGCCCCTACCTACATCCCCTTCCTACTGTTGATGGCTTCAAGGCATTCCCCGTATTCCCTTCCCTCCGCAGTCACACAGCTTTTCATTCCTGCCTTTCAGCTGCCCAGGTCTCCACCCCACTGACAACCAACCAATATTATTAACTTTTTATATACTTTCAAATATATTTTACACACATACACATTCACACCCATCTTTTTTTCCAAAAACATACGCATACATATAAAAGGTATCCTACTATACATTCTGCTCTTAGGTTTGTTCACTTAGCAATGCACCGTGGAGATTGCTACATGTCAGTAAAATACTTTCTTATTCTTTTTCAGGACTTCGGAATTTCCAGTGCATGGATGGGACACAATGTATTCAGCTGGTCCCTACTGATGACCACTTGGGTTGTTTCCATTAATTTGCTCTCACAAACAATGCTGCCTTGCACATGAGACATTTTGCCCATGTGGGAACGTATTTATGGAGTAAATCCCAAGGAGCGTAATTAATAGGTAAAAAGGTATGTGTGCTTGTTAGTACATATTGCCAAACTGCTCCTTAGAGGCCAACCAATTTCCATTCCTGCCAGCAAGGTAAGCCTCAGGATTTCTAAACATAGAAAAGCTACCTGATTTCCTCTCTGAGAGAAAAGTATTATCAGAATTAATAAAAATGTCTATTTTTAAAAATGTGACTTCCTGTTTTCAATTATACCAAGGGCAGAGCAATTCTTTTAATAAAAGCTATATTTATTCATTCATTGCTGGCAGGCAAACATTGCTGCTAAGGTCTTTCCTATTAAAAAGGCTAATATTTCCATTTTTACTACTAATTTGCTTAACAGAGCAAACTTCTTCCCTGTAGAAGTTTGAGCATGGGGCATAATTCTTGCTTTACTGGTATGGTTACAAAAATTCTTTTTAAAAGAAGCCTGTGCACACAGTACTTTAGTCTGGTCCCTCCCCCTCAATGGGAGGACACACCTGAATGTAAACAGGAACGGGCAGTGTATATGCAAATACCAAGGGAGGGACCCTTCTGCCCATCTGCCCCCCTTTCCCTCACACACACCCCCTCATAAAAAGCTGCTGCTCAGACTGCTTGGATGACACAGCAACTGGGTGGTGACTGCTGGTGGGCCTGGCCCCTGTGCTTCCCAAACCCAGGTGCCATTTGTTCCCAGGCATTTCCGCACACTGTCTCCAGGCTGCAAACCGCCAGGCAGGGCCTGGCTCTTGGAGGCACACTGGCCGGCTGCACTCTCTTCCTGTCCACAGGTTTGGGTGGGGACACTGAGGCCCAGCCACTTCTCTTCTAATGTTTGTTACTGTTGATTTGCTTGCTTTTTAGAATTTTGAGGAGAGAAGATGGAAAGGAGCAGAAGGTCCTACTTAGTTTAGGTCCATCTCACATGCTCTGAATCAGTATTTACCAGGGCTCTGCACTGGAGTACTGGTCACATGCATGGCTTTTTACACAGATGTTTTAACCTCTGTTCTGCTCTTCTCTTGAATATAGTTACCTCTCAGTCTCACAGAAGGTCAGGCTCACTTCATGGAAAGGATACCAGGATTCCTGGGTCCCAGGCTCTAATGCCTTCAAACCAGTACCAAAATCTCCATCCAATCTCAAAAAAATTAAACTATTTTTCTTTTTCTATCACTGGGTTGCAATAATCCCTCAACTTCCCTAAGCTGAAATACCTCAGTTAGTTTCTCCAAAAAGATACGTCAGCCACACCAGCATCGTAACAGTACTCACCACCACCGTCACCTTCATTGCTCCCTCATCGCAAAGCCAACCGAATGCACAAAGAAGTGAGCAAGCCTTTCCTGCTTTCCTTGCTGGGTCCACTTCAACCCCAGCTCCCCAGAAACAAAGCCTCTGCAGCTAGCCAAACGCCCTATTCCGCTCTCAGGAACCAGTCCACCCACTTCCCTGTCACCACCAGTACTGTCTTCATGGTACTGAGTTGATTATGATGAAGTTGTTCCTCTGGAAAAGGTCAGGTCAGCACTCCCAGTTCCTCCAATGCTCAGCCCTCCAACCCACTGCACCTTGCGGCCAGCCACCTTAGGACTCCTACCAGAAACCTGGTACCTCTTCAAACTCCAACTACAATCTTCAGTCAGGCCCAGCCCCACTGCGGCTCGCTCCACCTCGGCCCGGGCCACGAGCCCTTCTGGGACCAGGACTTTCCTCTCACCCTGAACCCCACACTCAGCTACTTTAAGTCATCCTCTTTGGCAGGGGTCCTCTTTCCCCTAATCACTGACACCAATCCCTGCCCTCCACCCCAGTGTATCACCTTCCTAATATGCCTCTTCCATTAATGCTCCCAGGCAATGAAGAGTACTGGACAAGGTCATACAGATGTGACCCAGCTAGTCAACTTGCAATGAATACATCTCATTTCAGCTTGCTTCTTTTCACTAAAGGTTCTCAGTCCTGTGGCCTCACTGAATCTCTAGTTCAGTTTTACTTTAAACCTTAGATCCTATTTATTTCTATTGAATCCTTTTCTTATTTCCTTCTGTGACCTAGTTTCTGCCTCACAATCTCCAGAAACTCCTGATACAAAGACCCCAATAGCTGGTCCCAGTCACACTCCTGGACTCTCTCCTGGCTGACACCTTCCTGGGGTGAGGCCCTTCTTTCTGGTCCTCACCTCCTTAGCTCCTGCCAGCCTATGTGACAGGACTCTCCCACCTGTTTTTGGACACAACTCAGTCTGACCTCAGGCTTCCTCTTGTCTACAAGGCTCAGTTCTCTCTCCAAAAAGCAAGGCCTCTGGTCTGGAGAGAACTTTCTTTCCTATCCTAAGATCATGTGGTATATCTGGATTTGACTATACATTACCTATATGTCTCAAGACTTAGAGCAACACATCTCTCAAAAAACACCTCCTGCCTTGACTCAGGACCCCACTCCAGAAGAGCCCTTAGACACTAGTAGTCTGAGCCATTGGATTTAATAGGTAAGAGCCCTTCCAGGGAAAGGTTTCCAGGGACTGCCCAAGGTCACTGCCAGTCTGCAGAGACCAAGGACCACTACTGGCTCCAGAGACTTTGGTGCTTCTATCAGAATCTGTGCTAGGCTGGCTCCGTAGTCCAAGTCAGAGAGTCATGGAAAGCAATTTCTGTAGTCCATGCTGCCTTACCAGTGGCATCCTCAAGGTTCAAAACGAGGCTATAAATCAGGGCAGTACCAGGATGAGATGAGGTAACCTCATCCTCTTGCTCCCCACACACCATTCAAGAAACCATTAAGATAGCCACAGGGGGAGGGAAAAGCTGAGGTAACTGGCTATAGGTTACCTGGTCAGAGGGTCCAACCTGTAAACTCTGGGTGATAGAAAGAACGCCCAATTTGCTTTGGTATATCAAGAGGAACCCTTTCTGTGCACATTTTTTTTTACCCTTCTGCTGCAGAAGGCCTGTGGGAAACAGGGTGCTCGACGCTAGGATGGGAGGGTGTTGACCTAGTGCTCTCTGTGGTCCAGACAATACCCATAGTCTAATTTCTCCAACCAGGAAATCGGGGGCTTGGGAAACATCTCCTCTCAAGGTTCATATGGCCCTCAAGTCAGAGGCTTTTGGTTCTGCATTACCTGGGGAGTAGCCTGAAGGTAGATGAAGCCGCATAATTGGAGCCGGCTGGCAAACTCCTGCAGGAGAAAAGAATGCCATTCCTGATAGATATGCCACTCCATATCATTGATGGAACCATTTTCAAAAAGACTCTTTGCAAAGATATACCTGGTTGGAAATGTAAATGGGGGGAGGGGTGGGGGGGGAGGGAGAGAAGAAGAATGGGAAATGGAACGGGCAAAGGAGAGAAAGAAGCAGAAAAATCAATAATCAACTTGTTTCATGGCTATTCAAATCACTTAACCCTTTTAGTGCCTTAACAATTTTGAAGAAATCTGAATTTTTAACCAATATTCCCCTCATGTTCAACACTAAGATAGAAAATAGCAACTGGACTTGAGAAGCCAAAATCGCAGCTCTCCAGCTGGATTAACCCGCTGGGAGAAAGGGGCCCTGGAAGGGCACGTTGTATCATTGGTTGCTAACAATTTTTTCCTGCTGGAAACCAGTCAGACACACAGCAAAGGTGCATGTACACTCAAACTTTTGAGATGTCTTTACTATAATTGTAGCAAGCCCCTCAACAAAAACCAATCTAGTATAAAGCACCCACCGCATTTTATTTCAAAACAGGGCTTCTGGGTCTCCAGGCTGCTGAGCTATCCTTTGTTTAGCTGAGAAGTATAGAAGCAACTGTATTTCAGCAGCATCACCTACGGAGCAGGAAATAAATGTATTTCGTCCTAACTGCAGGATTATCAAGAATGCAACTTTTCTCCATAGCACACATGAGCTCTTTATTTACTTGCTTCATCTGTTGAGCCTCTAATCTAGACATAAGAAGGCCAAATCTAAAAACCAGCTGGCTTTGCCCCTAGCTTACTTCTACTACTAAAGGAACATCTGATAAATTGGAAATAAGAGGTAACCAGAACCATGGCTTCAGCAGGGTCAATTCTCTTTCAGACCTCAGACATCTTGATACAAAACACAATTTACATCCTAAATAATGAATTCCAGTTTCTAATGCAATGCCCAGCAACTGGGCACTTCTGAGAAAAAGAAATTCAAAACCCTTGTGTATGAATGGCTCAGGAAGTATATACCGCACAGTTGTGTGCTGTAAGAGAATGGGTTGCAGAATCACAATCCTGAGCCTGATCCTGGCTCCAAAAATTTACCAGTTGTGTCACCATGGGCACGTCAGTAAACTCGGCCCATTTTTTCATCTGTATAAAGAGAGAACAGTGGAACCTAACTCACAGAGTTGATGTGAGGATTGTACATAATCCAAGTACTTAGAGGAGTGTGTGGCACATAATATCCAAGGTGTCTTGGTTGTTATAACTCCTTCTTTGCTAGGCTATGAAGACACCAATCTGAGAGCTCCAGGGTCAACTCTTCCAGGCTGGAAAGGTATAGCGATAGCCTAGCTAAAGGTAAAAAGAAAAGAGGTGACTTCTGTCACTCAATTTCTGAAAAAATGTTTTCAGCTGTGTCATAGTAACATGGAAATTAAGATCTTATAAAGAGAACTTAATGATCTGTTAATAAGCCCTACAAAAAGCTGTTGCATTCCTGAGCACTTCTTTGTTTCTCTAACTGGTGGTGACTGCCAGGGAGAGTGGGAGCAGAAGGCTGTGGCGCTGAATGCTAAGGGCAGGGCCCCACTGCAGTCCAAATCAAATGCAGGGGCCGCAAGGAGTCCCTGCAAGGACCTAGGTGGCAGGGCCCCTCTCTAAAACCACATGCTATTGTTTCTTTAACTCAAACAGGGAAGATCCAGGTTTCTTCCTCTCTGTCGTCCACTCAACCAAACGACCGCGTTCCGCCTGTGAACGCATACAACACACGAGCATGTGTGCAGTCGCAGAGTTCCCTGTTAGACTGCAGTCGCCGTGAAGGCACAGACTGGGTCTGCTCTGTCTCCTGTCGCAGCCCCTGGCCCCGCCTGCCGTCTGAACACGGGTGCCATTCAAGGTATCTGTACTGAGTGAATGCACACATGAACGAATTTTTAAGAGTAGAAAGGTTCTAAATTACCATCAAGATTAGAATGTGTAATTAGTTATCCTTTCTGTCTTAAAAATGCCCCCTCTGAAGAAAACATCTAGGATGTTGTAGCTGCCTACAGTGCAATCAATTCTCATCTCTTCCAAGAAAATAGTAAGATCTTGTAGCTTCTAAACAAAGTAGCATTTTGATTTCTGAGGGGCCTCTCACATGCCTACCCTACTAGTGGGTTGGAAATAAAAAGACCAAGAGTGAGTACATTTCCAAATAACCTAGGTGATTCTATGTAACTCATCTTCCTAGTCCAGAAGGCATGGCTTTGGAAAGGGGAGAGGAAAACAGGAAGCAGTATACCCAACAGGTGAAAAAGAAGCAAAATCCAGAGCCCAACCATTGGTAATTCACAAATTTAGCTTTTATAAAGAGGAGGCTCTCTCTTGGAGTACCGAGAAGGAATGCATAGCCCACATGATTTGTTTTCATATCTTGCATGATTTTAGGTAGCATTAAAACAAAGTAACATGACATTTACAAATGTACTCTTATTTTTCCTTCCAGGAGGCTTTATGGGAGCACTAAGAAGCAGAACTAGGTTGTCTAACTTGGAATTAAATGGGCAACCAACTCAGTGTCTTCAGAAGTGAATGGACAACAAAAATGCAGCATTTTCCATTTTGTTATTTAAGATAGACCATCATGCTTTAAGTTTGCAGGTTCAACCACCCAGTTGTGGTGTATGCAGGAGACAACCAATCAGTGTTTCTCTCTTGCACACTTTCTCTCTCTCTCAAGTTAGTGAACATATCCTTAGGTGAGGATTAAAAAAATAAGAAGGGTAAATCCGAAATAGAAGCCAATTTCACAAATGTGCTATTTCTTCTTAGAAAGACTTTCTTGAAGAATAAAAAAAAAAGGTGACTGCATCTCTCATATCGTTTTAGAAACACAAATTTTTAGTTCCATCTGCTATCTTCTTCAAGGTGATAACCAACCACCGATTCATTTGGTTTCCTAGCACATATACTGCTTAAGTGTCTATTCTGTGCCTTTTAGTGTGTAATGATTCTATTAGGCATTTACCAGCTTGCCTCTGTGCCAGAAAAGAATAGGGAAACATAATCAGTGGAGATGTGGGGAAAAAGTGCATTTAGTTTATGAAAAACACAATTTTCTTTCTTGACATATATGGTAGTCCTGTGTAATCATAAGTTTGAACAAAACTGTATAGTGTTGTCTTAAAAAAGGAGGCAGTTTTTAAAAGTACAATGTTCAATGACCACAGTGGTGCAGGGTCTGAGCAAGAAGAGAAAACCTACAGCCCCAAGCACAGGGCTTCTGACTGGTGGCGGGTTCAGGGTCTTACCTGTCACTGTACACAGACCTCTCAAAGATCTGTACTGCTTTCTCGGCCTGTAAGAGCTTCTCAGGGAAGGGCTCCAGCCCTACTTTCAGGCGGGTCATAAAAGAAAATGTCTGGAATGTGTAGGACCATCGTGCTGGCTCCCGATACATCAAATCCAGCAAGTTCCCCAGATTTGGGGTAGTGCAGGCCTAGAGGGAAATTACAAAAGAAGAGAATTTCCTAGAAGGCATATTTACTTCATTGTGTTTACCTTTTCCCCACCCCCCTGCAAGTTTAATAATCAAGGAGAGGAGCAATTACAAACATTTTCTTTAGTCACTGCTACATAATCAAGGAACAGATTTTCTACTTTATTAGACAAGAACCTGATACAGGAAGATGATATGTCATCTTCAACGTACCACAGAAGAGCAGAGGAAGGGCCCCACATGGAATTAGAATATTACTTACTATTAATGGATTTGTGGAAACTGTCTGAGGGGGAGTTAACAATCAACAACCACCTAAAACTCTACTTGGAAACAATTTTTTCCACTGTAACACTATGTTGCCTTCCTTTTGGGCTTCCATATGTGGCTATTTCTTCACAAAACTTCAACCAAGGCAAGAAAGCAACTGTTTATTTGAAAATCTGACCAAACAAATAAAATCCTTTCTCTCTCAAAGAAGGGCTACAATTTTTTAACAAACAAAACCCTCCTCCATGCTACAGACTTTATGAAAGGGATCTGGTCACCCGCTCACTCAGCACGTGCAGGTGGAAGCATGTGTGGGACACTCAGGAGCCCTGGATCCTTTCTTGGGCTCCACCACTGACTCAGCACAAAGGTGAGTTTTGCAGAAAATACTCTGGATCTGCACTCACGTAGTCACCATTAACTGGAGGCCTATGTGAATGAGGCACTACGTGAGCTAGGTGCTACAAGTAGAAATAAATCTACTAAGATTTATTTCAATGTTCACTATGCTATGTTATCTCATTTAATCTTTTATGAGCTTCATGAGGTAGGTAAGATTGTTACGTTCATTTTCTTGAGGAGAAAATCCACTCAGAAAGGTTAAGTAACTTTCTTGCCCAAGGTCTCATGGTGAGTAGATACTAAATGGGTACTCAACCCTGGCTTCCTCTAACTTCTTCATTCTACTATTTTTCTCTATAAAGGTGAGCAAGACAGGTTCCAAAACTCAAGGAGCTCACAATGCAAAAGGAAAGGGGGTGAGGCAAGGATATAAAGAGCCAGGATATAAGGAAGAACGTGTGATAAAGAGTTGATCATTTATGATGGAAGGAATCTGAGGAAGTTTCTGGAAAAAAAAGTGGCATTAAGCTATGTGGAATGATATGTGAAAAAGTTTTAAAAAATATCTTATTTATTTATTTTCATAGAGAGAGGAAGGAAAGGAGAAAGACAGGGAGAGAAACATCCATGTGTAGTTGCCCCTTGCTCGCCCCCACTGGGCACCTGGCCGGTAATCCAGGCATGTGCCCTGATTGGGAATTGAACTGGTGACCCTTTGGTACATAGGCTGGCACTCAGTACACTGAGCCACACCAGCCAGGGCTGATATGTAAAATTTTCAGATGGAAATTTCAGGTAGGGACAAAGATACAGGAGGGAAACAAGGTTAGATAACAAGTAATGCAGTTTGGCTAAACACCACCATTACATTCCAAAGAAGGGTCCCGCCCTTTGGAAGGCCTCAGCAGGAGCAATACAGGTGGAGCAGCGTGGGTCACAAAATGATTTCCCTCTTTCCGATTCCACAAACCACAAACACACACCAGTCCCATAAACAGTCCCCAGCTAGGAGCTGGAGGCAGAAGCAGGGGGGCAAATCTGAATCACCTGGAGTCTCTGATGTCACTAGACTGCTGTGTGGCACAGTTCTGACACTGCGTGCCAGCCCACTGAATGACTGGGGCTCTGCGCTGACAGACGTACTAGGATGACTGGGTGGTTGCTATTCCACCATCAGGCTCTGGGCTACCAAAAAAAGACTGTTCCAGAACAAAAAAACTGCACAAGGGTCTACACAATTTCTGAAAGAAACATCTCAGCTATAGAACAAATGCAAACATGACTTCCAACATATAAACAAATAGAGGAATAATCATTGGACATAAAAATATTCAGCAATTCAAAAGGATAGGACCAATCTGCGTGCTCAAAACAAGCAGCCTCTTAGGAGACAGCTGTTGCCAGGAACAGGAAAAAAAACAGAAGAATCTCATTGAGATTCAAAAGAGTGCCACATTGATAAAAGCAGGCAGTCATAAAAAAAGGAGCAATATGAAAAGAACATTCTTAGAGGAGAAAAAATAGATTTGCTAAAACAAAACATACAATGAAGACAGTAACTAGACTGTACATTGCAGTAAACCTAATGACTGAATATCATACACAGAATCAGCTTAAGAAATTCTCCCTAGCCCTGGCTGGTGTGGCTCAGTGGATTGAGTGCCACCCTGCAAAGGGTCACCAGTTCAATTCCTAGTCGAGCCACATGCCTGGGTTGCAGGCCAGGTCCTCAGTGGGGGGTGTGTGAGAGGCAATCACACAATGATGTTTCTCTCCCTCTCTTTCTCCCTCCCTTCCCCTCCCTAAAAATAAATAAAATCTTAAAAAAGTATATCAGAATTTTTTAAAGAAGAAATTCTCCCTAAACTAAGAGGAAAAAGGAAAAAATTATGAAAGAAATGAAAAGACATGCAAGTCAGAAGATCTGGTATGTACTGTAATATAGTGATAGGGTTGGTGTTTCTTTTACTTTCTTTACTGACTGGTGTGGCTCAGTGGGTTGGGTGCTGTCCCATGAACTGAAAGGTCGCTGGTTCGATTTCCAGTCAGGGCACAAGCCTTGGTTGTGGGTTTGATCCCAGGCTGGGGTGCAATGGCAACTGACCTGATTCTATCTCACATCGATGTTTCTCTCTCTCTTTCTAAAATCTATTCTCAGTTGAGGATTAAAAACAAACAAACAAAACACAGTAAATTTCCTATATGAACGAAGGGGAGGAAAATGAAAGAAAACTTCAAATATAGCAAAAAGAAAAAGATGGAGATGGAAGCACAAAATAAGGTGGCAGGAATAAATAAACATAATCATAATAAAAGAGAAAAACTCCCAGGGAAGGAAAACTCTAAGGCTGAATAAAAACTAAAACTCCTGTTCACAAAAGAAACACCTAAACTTAAAAAATCCTAAAACAAGATGACAAATTGGTTGAAGACAAAGGGACAGAAAAATCCACTAAGTAAGTATTGGGTTGTCCAAAAAGTTAGTTTAGTTTTTTCCGTACAATGGCTCTACTGGTGCTTAATGTGTCTTTAACTTCACTTGAAACAGTTCTGTTAGATTCTAGTGTAATAGCTGTCATATCGGTGTGTGTTTATTTAAATGTTTTTTATTTTATTAAAAAATTTTTTGTTGTTTAATTACAGTTGTCCCTGTTTTTCCCCCATTACTCTCCCCTGCCCCACCCACCACCCCACCTCCTACATTCAATACTCCCCCCACCCTGTTGTTTTTGTCCATGGGTCCTTTATACTGGCTCCTTGACTTCCCTCTTCCCCCTCTTTCCCCTCAGTGTGCATTTTTAAAAAATATTTTATTTATTTATTTTTACAGAGAGAGGAAGGGAGGAAGAGAGAGAGAGAGAAACATCAATGTGTGGTTGCCTCTCATGCACCCCCCCACTAAGGACTTGGCTGCAACCCAGGCATGTGCCCTGACTAGGAAGCGAATTGGCGACCCCTTGGTTTCGAAGGCCGGCACTCAATCCACTGAGCCACACCAGCCAGGGCTTCACTGTGCATTTTTAAAAAATGTAACAAAACTGATGAATTTTCATACAATCATTTTAATATTGAAGATGGAAGAACATGCGCAACATTTTCGGCAATTTATGCTTTATTATTTCAAGAAAGGTAAAAAATGCAACTGAAATGCAACAAAAGACTAAAAGACTTGTGCAGTGTATGGAGAAGGTGCTGTGATTGACAGAATGTGTCAAAAGTGATTTTCGAAGTTTCTTGTACTACTGCCGTTTTGGTTAAATAATTCTTTGCTGTTGGGGTGTCTTATGCATTGGAAGATGTTTAGCGCACTCCTGGCTTCTACCCACTAGAAGCCAACAGTGGGAGATAGCTAACATACTCAAAATGTCCAAATCAATAAAGTTATTGGTGAAAATGAAAAAATGTGTCATTTATCTTATGGAAAAAATTAAGTGGGCTTTTGGCCAACCCAATAGATACAAATAAAAAGAAGGCAGATGTGGCAAAACTGTATTTAAAAAAAGGCATTAACTGCTAGGAGAGTTTTTTTAAATACTAATAAACCAACAGACTCCACAAATAAGTTATGAACCTTTTTATACGGAGTATTAAAGCATTGAAATGTTATCAATATAGAGCAAAGACAATTAAAAATATAAGGAAAAATAAACAAAACACAATAAAAACACAAAACTTTAACACATTTCTCTCAGATTTTAAAATAAAAAGTAGACCCCAGAAATGAGAACTTGGAGAATAAAATTCTAAATCATCTTTTTGCACATATCTCAAACTGGGATATATCTTACAATGTTCACTAAATTACACTTAACACACATATTTTAATTATTCCATAGAAGGGTTATTAAATTCATTGTGTCTTATGATAAATGGCATCTTAGAATTTATAAAATATCTCATATCAAACTCCATACCTTACAAGTAATATATATTCTACATAACACATGGCACATTTACCAAAATTGATCATTTGAAAAACTGATCATACATAAGCCATGAAGAAAGTCTTAGTAAGTTATCTCAGTTAGAAACTATATAAGCCACATTGTCTAACCATAACAAAATTAGAATGGCAAAGTAATACTCACACAAAATCTACTCAGAGAATGTAAAATATTTTAAACATAATTCTAGGGCAAAGAATACATTAAAACTAAAATTATAAACTCTTTGGAAATTTCACTTGGATGTCAAAACCTAGAAGATATGAACAAAGCTTATCCCATGAAAAAAATTTCCAGTTGCAATTGATTTTATTATTAAGGCAGAAAAAAGGAAAAAGTACACAAATTAATCATTCAAACCTAAGATCTTTAAAAATGCAAAGAAATTCTGGGAAAGAAATGAATAAAGGCAGAAATAATGCAAGCCCCCATAGAATTAAAAATAAAATCCATTAATTAGTTCCCTTTTAAAAATGTCAAATAGACAATCTATCAAATCTATCCCTCCTCAAAATATTCAAATAAGCAGCATGAGACAAAAATAACTCTGGCTGAGTTTAAAGTATTAAAGAAAACCTACTAATTTTACTTGATTAAGTGTGAAAATTTCAATACAAGGCGAGTTTTCTAAGAAAGCAAAATTGACTCAAGAAGATTTAAAAAAAAAGCTATGAATTGAGAAATAAACCGTTGTCCAATAACCATTTCCTCCAAACAACACTGAATTCATGGCATTTAAAAAATGATTTCTGGCATACCTTCAAGGACTAGATAATTCCTATGCTAAAAATGACGCAAAACTTCTCAACTATTTTCATGACCCTGATGGTAAAACCTGTCAAAAACTGTACACACAAATAGTAATACCAATTAAACTTACAAATACATATGCAAAATTCCCAGCAACATATTAGTAAATTAATGGAACAGTACACTAAGACCAAAAGAGTTCATTCTAGAAATGTGAAAATGGCACCATTATCAAATCTATGACTAAGAGAGTTAAGAAAAACCCCATGGTTATCTTGCTAGATGCTAAAAAGGCTTATGATGAAAATTCAACATCTGATTCTGATAAAAAAAAGTTAATATCCTAGTAATAGAAAAATCCTCCTCCATGTGGTCTATTGAAATGAGTAACAATCCTAGAATGTAACATTGATACAGTATAGGTAGTTGGACTAAAGATAGAACAAAATAAGAGTGACTATCATAGCTGCTATTATTTAACATTGTTCTGGAGCTTCTACCCAATGAAGGAAAACAAGAAAATGGAAATGAGACGGCTTTGGAAAACTTTTGCAAATGATTAGAAATTATAGAAGAGGTAAGCAAATAGAGCAAAAAAAAACTGACATGAGAATTGTTACACAAATACAATTGACTGCTTTCCTTTAACATAACAATAATCCTGTTCCATTAGTCTGTATGATTTTCTGCCAATACCATGCTGTTTTGATTATTGTTTCTCTGTAGTATAATTTGAAGGCAAGTAGTGTGAAGCCTCCAGCTTTGTTTTTTCTGAGGATTACTTTGGCAATTTGGGATCTTTTGTGATTCAATATAAACCTGATGCTTTAAAATTTTTTTAAAAAATAAATGTCATTGGGATTTTGATGGGGATTGCATTAAATCTGTACATTGCTTTGGGTAACATGGGCATTTTAACTATGTTGATTATTCCAATCCATGAACATGGAGTATCTTTCCATTTCATTGTGTCTTTTTCAATCTCTTTTAATAAAAGTGATTTACAGTTTTCATTATATGGGTCCTTCACATCCTTTGTTTATTCCTAGGTATTTTATTCCTTTTGTTGCAATTGCAAAAGGAATTGTGTTTTTCATTTCTCTTTCTGAAATTTCATTGTTAGTAAATAGGAATGCAGCAGAAACAAAACCACATGTATAGGGGCAGATAATTTTTGACAAAGGAGCCAAAAACACACAGTGGAGAAAATAAAGCCTCTTCAATAAATGGTGCTGGGAAAATTGGAAAGCCACATGCAAAAGAATAAAACTAGATAGACTACAGCTAGTATCCATGTACAAAAACTTATTCAAAATGGACCCAGGACCTAAATATAAAATGTGAAACAATAAATTACATAGAAGACATAGGTACTAAACTTATGAACCTTGATCCTAAGAGAGGATTTTATGAACCTGACTGCAAAAGCAAGGGAAGTAAAGGCAAAAATAAATGAATGGGACTGTATCAAACTAAAAAGCTTTACGCAGCAAAAGAAACCCATAACAAAACAAAAAAAGTAACCAACCAAATGGGGGAAGATATTTGCAAGCAATAGCTCTGACAAGAGGTTAATATCCTAAATACATAAAGAACTCATACCACTCCAAACCAAGCAAACAATCTAATTAAAAAATTAGATTAGGGCAGAAGATCTAAACAGATACTTTTCCCAAGAAGACATACAAATGACCAACAGGTATGTGAAAAGATGCTGAATTTCACTAGCTATTAGGGAAATGCAAATGAAAACTACAATGAGATACCACCTCACACTTGTCAGAATGACTGTTATCAACAGGACAGGTAATGACAAGTGTTGGAGAGGTTGTGGGAGAAAAAGGAGCCCTCATTCACTACGGAAAACACTACTGTGTCCCTGAAAAAACTAATAATAGAGTTATATAACCTGGCAATCCCTCTTCTGGACACCTACTAGAAAAACTCAAAAACATTTATTCTAAAAGATATATGCACCCCTATGTTCACCGCAGCATCATTCACAGTAGTCAAGACATGGAGAGTGTTCTTCAGTAGGGGACTCAATAAAAGTCCTTCAGTAGAGGACTTTCAGTAGAAGACTGGATAGAGATGTGGTACGTATATACTATGGAATACTACTCAGCCGTAAGAAAAGATGAAATACTGCTATTTGCAACATGGATGGAACTTGAGAATATTATGCTAAGTGAAATAAGCGAGTCAGAGAAAGCTAAGAACCACATGAGTCCACTCACATGTGGGATATAAAACTGAAACTCACAGACACAGACAACAGTATGGTGGTTACCAGAGGGAAGTGAAGTGGGGTAGTAAAAGGTAAAGGTGGCCAAATACATGGTGACAGAAGATGATTAGGTGGTAGACACACAATGAATGTACAGATTATATATTGCGGAAATGTACACTTAAAACCTATTTTATCAATATCACCCCCCCAAATTTAACTAATTCAAAAAAATAAATAGCAATAACCAGATTGAAAAAGATGATGGGAAAAAAGACTGCAGCCACAGTAACAACAAAATGTATAATGACTAAGGCATAAACTAAACAAGAAGAGTACTGGGACAAGTAAATAACCCTGGCTGATGTGGCTCAGTGGACTGAGTGCTGGCCTGCAAACCAAAGGGTCACCAGTTTGATTCCCAGTCAGGGTACATGCCAGGCTTGTGGGCCAGGTCCTTGGTGGGGGACACATGAGGCACAACCACATATTGATGTTTCTTTCCCTCTCTTCCCTCTCTCTAAAAAGAAATATATAAAATCTTTTTTAAAAATGTAGTTACAAGAATATTAACTATTATAACATTATTTGTCATAGGGAGAAATTAAAAAACTAAATATTAAAAAAAAGACCAGATAACTGAGAGTATATCATATTATGTAGTATACTGCCACCATTAAACTGACATTACTATGAAAGGATGACCTTGTATATAGTGATATGCAGGTGACAATCACAATTTTTGATTAAAGAGAGTAGTTTTATACATTTATATAAGTGTATGTAAATATGTATTTTTTTCTCTATAGGAAAAGATCTTAAAAGGACAAAATGTTAATTTTACCTCTGGATAATGGGATTATGGGAGTATTAGGTATCTGTTGCTGCATAACAAGTTGTGCCAAAATTTAGTGGCTTGAAAACACTCATTATCTCAGTTTCTATAGGCAGGGAATTTGGGACCCAGCTTAGCTGGGCAGTTCTGCCTAGGGTTTCTCATGAGGTTGCAGTCAGGATGTTGGCTGAGGGTACAGCCATCGGAAGACCTGACAGGGAAAAGGATCCACTTCCAAGAAGACTCACTCACGCAGCTGTTGTCAGCTATGTGATGACAACACATAGGACTTGGATATTTGCTGTGTGGGCCTCTTCGCTGGAGGGGATGCTTCATCACATAGTAGCTGGCATCCCCAGAGCCAAAAGTGATCAGGAGAGAACAAGACTAAAGATGCAATGTCTCTTCTGGTCTATGCAGAGAGTCACACTCTGTTATTCATGCCACATTCTAGTCATTAGAAGCAAGTTACTAAGTCCGGCCCACACTAAAGGAGAGAATTAAGGTTCATCTCTTAAAGGAAAGAGTATCAAACAATGTGTGGACTTTTAGTGGAAACCTAACAAACTGGAGCTCATCACCTAAACAAAGTGACTTCAGAATAAGGAATAATCTGGAGGAACATGGTGTTTGCCTTGAAAGAAAGAAGACTTGAGGGGGGAAAAGAGGAGGCAAATCACTGCCTTCAACTAACTATGTGAAGAGTTGCCACGTGGAAAAGTTAGGAGGCTTAAGAAGCAAAACTTGAACCAATGACTCAAAGTCAGTCACAGGTATGCAAAGTGGTTCATACAAGAACTTTCTAACAGTTAGTTGTTAAAAACCAGAATGAGCCACTCAGTGAATGTTCCCATTCACTAGAGGAGGAGCCTGTGGCAACTGAGGCATGGTGCTACCACTCCCTCAGCTACCTCTAAGGTTCATGTCCAGACTGGTATTTCCTTACTCATACTGATGTGGCTGGTGTTGAAACCAACCCTACGGCCTTTCCCAAAGCAGCAGACCTGCAATGAAGGTCTAAGCCATGACGTATAAATGAAATGTACGGTGCTTGGCACAGTATAGTACCTGGTACAGAGTACGTGCTTTATAAATGTTAGTTATATCTGCATTGACTCGAAGTGTGACAAAATGCTCTCTAAGGTCCTTTCCAATTTTTAAGACTTCATAAATAGTTAAAATCACTTTAATTAACTGTTAATTTTGCTGGTGAGCCTCAGTAAAATACTTAAGGGTAGGAATGACAAAATTAAACCTTAAAGCCAGAATGGCTGGACATGCTTTGGGAAACCACACAGAACAGAAGCAGTCACTTATGTAGACATGTAATAACCACAAAAAAGAAAACCAAACATATTCAAACAAGTCATAATCTCTCTTGCATACGTGGTCTGCATGCTGGAATGAAGGTATTTTAAAAAGGAGACTAAACTGGGCTACTTCACCCCCTCAGAGCAAATTAGATTATTACAATTAGTTTACTCACGCATGCCTGCCAAGTACCCACCACAACTGAAAACTTACTTTTTGTGTGCCAGCAGCCTGGACGTTCTGCCATGTTGCTACAGGTTCTGTAGCTACGTGCCACTCTGGGTAAGTTTTCTCGAGTAACTTCACAAAGGTAGACTTTCCCACGGCTGCAAGGCAAACAGCATGTATTGGGACATTTCCCAAATCAGGGCTGAAGGAAAAGGGGCTATCCTGCCCAACTCAAGGGAACAACGATCAGTTTTTACAATTTCAAAACTCAGCAGCAGCCATATCCACTGTCCGACTGACAATGGGTCAGGCCATGCTACCCGGAGTCACCCTAGTGAATGTAGGCAACAGGGAGGAAAAATACCCCTAAGATTTGACCTGAAATTTTAATGTCCCAAACTCCTAGAGGCAAAGAGTATTTAATAGTAGTTAAAAATGTAATAGTCCAGCCCTGGCTGGTGTGGATCAGTTGGCTGGAGCATCACCTCACAGACCAGAAGGTCTCAGGCTTGACTCCTGGTCAGGGCACACACCCAGACTGCAGGCTGGGGTGCAGACAACAAGGCAGCCAATCAGTGTTTCTCTCACACATCGATGCTTCTCTCACCCTTCCTCTCTCTCTAAAAGCAATGACAAAAATGGCCTTGGATAACAAGAATATTTTTAAAAAATGTAATAGAGTATGAAAAGTAGATGAAATCAGCTACATATGTTGTAAAGCTTGAATCACAATCCTATTTATTATGTGATGGTGTAAAAACTGAAATTTTTTCACAATAGATCATGACTCCCATTCATTCAACAATCTGACCAAATGCTCAGGACTGTCTGACCCTGGGGGTGTAATGATAAACACAGGATCAACTTTGCCCTCATAGCTTGTATTGAGATACTAAACAAACACAGAAGAAACTTGTAACATATTGTGTTAAGTGCTAGAAAAGAAAAATGCAGGATGGCTCTAATACAGCTCAGGAGGTCAGGGAAGGCTCCTCTGAAAAATACCTGAAGTAAAATCTGAAAAATGAGTTAGCCAGGCTAAGGGATAGGGGACAGCAATCCAGGCACAGACAGCAGCATGAACAAAGAAGGGAAAAGATAAAGAAGTAGGCACACCATAAGACATAGAAGTCTACATGTGGCCTTGAAGAAGCCAGTGCAACTACAGTGTGGGCAAGTGAGGGAGAAGTGTGACTCAAGGTGTGTGTGGAGAGGCAGGCAGGCAGCCAGGGTGAGTTGTGAAGGGCCTTGTGGCCATGGGAGGAAGTCTGAATCTACTGGAAGGGCAATGAGAAGTCAGTGGTGATGGGTTTTACGTAGGGAAATGACAAATTTCTATCTCATTTTTAAAAGATCACTCTGTCAGCTACGTAAGAATGGACTGCTACAGAAGTAGGCAGACCAGTTAGAAGACAACAGTAGCTTGAACCAAGGTGAAGGCAGAGGTGTAGAAGATAGCAGATGCTTTGAGAAATACTTTGGAGATTAAATCAACCTAGGACTACAACAGTCAAGTCATCCTTTCCCATTTACACCATTGTGTAGTCCATACCTCCCTGAGCTCCAGATTTCACCCTCCAAGAGTCCTCTTGACATCTCACTTTGGTGTCCCCCAAATACCTCAAAGTCAATATATTCCTTAAATGAACTCACCATCTTCCCCACCAAGCTGTTTTCTTTTCCATATCCCACCATCCACTCACCGTCAGAACTTCCTTCTCTGCCAAACCTCAAGTGGCCACCAAGTGCTTTGGTACCTGCCTTTTAAATCCCCCCCATCTATCCTTTTCTCTCTATTCCCACCGCCTGTTCGAGACCAGCCCTTCAACATCTCTTGCCTCTCCAATTCTGCCCTTGCCCTCTTCAAACCATCATTAATACTGCAGCCACAATGAACACAAAACATTGCTTAAAACTCTCTGACAGTTCTGCATTGCTTTCATAACAAAACCCAACCCTTTAACATGGCCCAAGATGTTATGATGTAGCCCCTGCATATACCTCTCCGGCCTCAGCTTCATTTCAGGTATCCTGAGCTCCTTCTGGACCAAACTCCTTCCAACTCCAATCATGCCATGTTTTCTGCTGCAAATGTGACTTCATACACTTTACCATTTCCTGGTACACTTTCCTCAGCCAACTCCAATTCAATCTTCAAGAATCTGCTTAGGCCCTGGCTGGTACGGCTCGGTTGGTTGGAGCATCATCCCATAACCAAAAGGTTGCTGGGTTCTATTCCCAGTCAGGGCACATACCTAGGCTGCAGGTTCACTCATTGTTCTGTGCATGGGAGATCCCCGGTCCAGCACTTAGGATTCCCGGGCTCCGGTCTATGAGCACATAAGATCCCCAGTCTGGGCACGTACGTATATGGGAGGCAACCAATTGATGCTTCTCTCTAGCATTGATATTTCTTTCTCCCTTCCTCTCTCTCTCTCTAAAAAAAAAAACAATGAAAAAAATGTTCTTGGGTGAGAATAAAAAAAAAAAAAAAGAACCTGCTTAGATGTACCCTCTATGTGAAGCCTTTCCAGACCCTGATACCTCTATTCAATTAGCTAATCCTCCTTCATGTTTGGACTGGCATTCTGGGTAAGACTCCATCACTGCCATTGTAATTGTATTTCTCCAGGTACAAGACAGGGGTCTTCCAGGGCAGGAACCAAAGCCCAGCCCAATGACCTGACTGAATAAATAAAACATTTAATACATTATTAATTTTAGTTCCCTCTGAAACGTACCTTTGTTAAATATAAAAAATAACCCTTAAGGATGCCCTGATCAGTGTGGCTCAGTTAGTTGGGCTTTATCCCGCAAAGCGAAAAGTCACCAGTTCAATTCCCAGTAAGGGCTCAAACCTGGGTTGCAGATTTGGTACCTCCCTACAGTTGGGGTGTGTACGAGAGGCGACTGGTTTCTCTCTCTCGTCAATGTTTCTCTTTTTCCCTTCTAAAAAAATTTAATTTTTTTTTAAATAAAATAAACCCTAAGAGTGCTTTTGGAACTCAATCTAATCTCCTCTACTGGAGTTGATTTTTCTTATGTATGTTCTACTCTTAAAATAAATCCAAATATTGGGTTGGCCAAAAAGTTCATTTGTTGTTTTTTTCCATAAGATGGCTCTAGTAGCACTCAGCAGTCTTTAATTTCATTTGAAACAATTTTGTTAAATTTTATTGTGACACCTGGCATATCAGCTTGCATTTTTAAAAAAAAGTATCAAAATATGCCCTGGCTGGCATAGCTCAGTGGATTGAGCGCGGGCTGCGAACCAGAGTGTCGCAGGTTCGATCCCCGGTCGGGGTACATGCCTGGGTTGCGGGCCATGACCCCCAGCAACCACACATTGATGTTTCTCTCTCTCTGTCTCCCTCCCTTCCCTCTCTAAAAATAAATAAATGAAATCTTAAAAAAAAAAAAGTATCAAAATCTGCCCTGGCTGGTGTAGCTCAGTAGATTGAGCGCGGGCTGCAAACCAAAGCATCGCAGGTTCAATTCCCAGTCAGGACACATGCCTGGGTTGCAGGCCACGGCTCCCAGCAACTGCACACTGATGTTTCTCTCTCTCTCTCTCTCTCTCTCTCTCTCTCTCTCTCTCTCTTCTCTCTCTCTCTCTCTCTCTCTCTCTCTCTCTCTCCCCCTCCCCCCTCCCTTCCCTCTCTAAAAATAAAATCTTAAAAAAATTTTAAAAAGTATCAAAATCATTGAATTTTTGTGTAGCATTTTAATACTGAAGATGGAAGAAAATAAGCAATATTTTTGGCATATTATGCTTTGTTATTTAAAGAAAGGTAAAAACACAAGTGAAACAAAAGATTTGTGCAGTTTATGGAGAAGGTGCTGTGACATCGAACGTGTCAAACTCTGAACAGTAAAATGACAACAAACTCATAACTATCAACAACTGAACCTAAAAAACAAAAACTGAGCAAACAACTAGAACAGGAACAGGATCACAGAAATGGAGATCACATGGAGGGTTATCAGTGGGGAGGGGGAGAATGGGGGCAAAATGATACAGGGAATAAGAAACATAGATGGTAGGCATAAAATAGGGGGAAGTTAAGAACAGTACAGGAAATAGAGAAGTCAAAGAAGTTGTATGTACGACCCGTGGACATGAACTAAGGGGAGGGGAATGCTATAAGGTAGGGGAAGTGCAGGGCAGAGGGGGTATAAAAGGGTTAAAAAATTGGGATAACTGTAATAGCATAATCAATAAAATATACTTAAAAATGGTTTGCAAAGTTTCATGCTGGAGGTTTCTCACTGATGATACTCCACAGTCAGGCAGACCAACTGAAGTTGAGAGAGATCAAATTTAGACAGTAATTGAGAACAATCAATGTTCTACCATGCAGGAGATAGCTGACATACTCAAAATATCCAGATCAATAAAATTATTGGTGAAAATGAAGAATGTGTCTTTTACTTTATGGAAAAAACCATATGGACTTTTTGGCCAACCCAACAGAACCAAGAGAAGAGAGGAAGGCACGCTTCCAGTCAATTTTATCAGCCACTCACGGCTGCTGATCAGGAGTGAAGAGTTGTCTCAGGAAAAGAACCCACACACCCAGTAAGTGACATTTATCACACACCACTCCAACTCCTCTCTGAACTCACAGGCTAAGAACAAACAACGTGAATCTATGCATTTTGTACAGTCATGCTCATCTCCCACTCCCACTCCACCAAACTTTTGAGTGCCTTTGCACATGTGCTCAGCCTCTGCTCTTCCCACACTTCAGTGACTAAATGTCTTTCCCTGCTCCTCTAGGCCTGTGTCTAAATCCTCTCCCCTATCAAGCCCAAGATCTCACTTCTTCCGTAAGTTCAGGACTTCTCTAATTCACACCAAATTTCTACCACACTGGGCAGTTGAACCAAACAAGATACATTTATTAACTACCTATAATTTGTTTAGCATTTAATTGTTTTGATTATTTCATTCATCTCAGTTTTGGTTTCCTAAAAGGTTCTCAATTTCTGGGGTTGGGCCCCCAGAATGCAGTTTTAAAGTATGACCCAAGTGCTCCTGATACACATTTATTTTTATTATTTTTTAAACTTAATCCTCACCTGAGGATGTGTTCATTGATTTTAGAGAGAGGAAGGAATAGACAGACAAGAGATCTATGTGAGAGAAAAACATCGA